CGAAGACTTGGTGTTGACGACATTCCCATCTCCCCCTCTCCTTCGTCTAATCCCCCTCCTCTTCGTCTGTGTATGTTTGGGACTGGCGCATTTCTTTCTGTGTGAGCGCCACGTCCCTTCACACCATGCGATGATGATGACATATGTTTGGTCTGCATTGCGACATTGATTGGTCTGATCATTGATATTTTAGCTTTCCGCTGCGCTATCCTGTACTATGTGAGAGAGGTCGGTTCTTGCTCTGGTCTGCACTGTTACGGTATGCAACAGTTTGGTATCGGAGCGGACCTCTCAATCAGAGGATCCGCCCAATCAAGGAGCCAGCTTGCTTGATCGACTGATTGTTGAATGATTGATTGATGGATTGATTGATTGATTGATTGATTGATTGATTGATTGATTGTTTATTAGTAAATCAAGTAGGGCTTCGTCAAATCTCTGCAGAATAAAAAATTCTTTTTCGCAACTTCGGATATTAGCATTTCGTTTTCTGTTCCACTCTGGGAATATTAGGTGAACTAGGGAGGTTGTCATACTCTCGGACTGGATCTATTCTTCTCTGAAAGTGGAGCCTCCAGTCTATTTCGTGCAATTTTTTTTTTTCAAGATCGCATTTTTGAAAGCCGTAACTTTGCGAAACCTTGCCTAGATCTCGCTCATAGTACTCCTCTGAAATGCCTCACTGATAGCAGATCAAGTTTGATCAACAGATATACAAAAAAAAAAAAAGGGGGTGATCCTCTTCTTTTATTTTTTTATTTTTATTTTATTCTGTTGATTAGGACCGGGAATGGAAAGTGCAGTTTTGTTACCTTTCTGCATTCCCCTCCCACCCAGCCCTTTGTCTGCATTCCCGGTTTGGTAAGTGCCACGTCAGCAGTGCCATGTCAGCAGTGCCATGTCAGCAGTGCCATGTCAGCAGTGCCATGACAGCAGCAGTGCCACATCAGCAACACTGCCACATCAGCAGTGCCACATCAGTAGCAGTGCCACGCCAGCAACAGTTCCCAGACAGCAGCAGTACCAACATCAGCAGTGCCCCGCCACCATGACGGTTTCAGCTTTGGGCATGCCAGGACAACTGGCCAACGATTCCATTGCCGCGTACCGACAGAGGTTCCAAGCTCAGCTCGCACTGATCGAGGCTGAGGAACAGCACCAGGCGGCAGCCTGCCCGCCTACAGCTGAAGCGGAAGCAGCAGCTGAAAAGCAGCGGCCTCAGGCCGAAGCTGACGCAGATGCCCAGGCCCGCTGCAAGGAAGCCCAGGATCTGCTGCAGCGGCACGAAGCCGCCAGCGTCGACAACCTCAAGTTCTGGCATTTTAAACCATCCAAGAGCCACGAAGACGCGACACCGGAAGAGCAGCACAATGAGTTTCTAGCCAAACTCGTGACCCGGTTGGTTTACACTTGTAACCACCTGCAGTCCGAGCTGGCGAATCTCCGACGGACAGTGCGGAACCACAAGGATCTGCACGAGGATGCTACACGGGCACTCAATTCCCGTGTACAGGATTTGGAGCAAGCAGCACCAGGACCGGATGTTGGCGAACCCAGCAGTGCAACCTCAACCCGACAATTGGAGGAACGAGTTGACCATGTCGTCGCAATGCTCGGCGACATCAGCACCTTCACTGCACCAGCCACCATCAGCGAGCAGCTGGACACCTTGAAGACCGAGGTTCGGCAACTGCACCAGCTGCCCGACAAGGATGGCAGCACCAGTGCGCAGCAGCACAAGATGCCGACATTCCGGATAAAAAAGGTTGATCATTATACGTATCAAGACCCGGTCCCCTGGTGGCGGGGCTTCATGATGGAACTGCGGATTCATTACGTCCTCGAGCACTCGTACATCGGGGCGTTGTTCCTTAACTCGAAGGGCGGATGCCAGATTTGGCTCAGCCACCTAGCAACCATCCGCGGCGTCCAGGTCGCCGATCTACAAGAGAAGATCTCTTGGGAAGATCTGACGAGACAATGGAAGAATCGGTTCATTGTTGACGACGCCCCGACACTCGCCATCAACCGCCTCTTTAGCATGACTCAAGGTAACACACCAACACGTGACTAGCTCACGGAGTGGAAAAAGATCGTGGCAACACCCGATCTGGACTTACCATTTCCGCATCTGCATCGGGAGTTCTACAACCAGTTGTGTGTCGCCTTGAGCCTCGCACTCGGTGATCGTGAGCAGTACACAACCTTCGCCGAAATCATCGACAAGGCGTGAGAGATCATCAAGACCAACCGGACTGCTGCACACGAGAAGTCAGCATGGCAGCCAGCCCATGTGAAGAAAGGAAAATTTGGTCCGCATCCGCAGCAAGTCGCTGCAGTCCAACCGGACAACATTGTGGAAGACCCGACAGCCACCCCGGCATCACATGAGGGAGATCAGGTGACCACTGTCCAGCCGCAAAGCAACAACAACTCCCGTGGAAAAGGGAAGGCGAAAACCGCGTCGCCGGCCGGAATTGGACAGCCAGTACCATGGGTCAAGTTCAACTTGACCGAGGCCGAATACAAGTACCGCAGCCGATACGGCTGCTGCTATTGGTGCAACAGCACCAAGCACAAGACCTCCCACTGCCAGGATCAAGGCAAGGAGGATGTTCGACCTCGAATCAGCTCGGGAAACTGAGCTGCGCGGGAGGTGAGGTGACTCCACCTCTCACTCCCCAGATTCGTCCGCCTTGCTAGCGGCCTCCTACACATCTGGGGAGAATGCGGATGTCGTGAGTCCTTGGTTCACTTACGAGGATTACGCTGCCCACTTGGTCCCACCGTTGGACCAGCCACTCCACATACAACAATCCATCGCATGCACGGTTTCACCACCATCGGCAACCGATTCGGCAGCTTCGTCGCCAACTATCATCGGGGATTCGACGTCATAGTCAAGACTTTAGAGACTCGACCCATTGACATTCGCGGACTTCCAATGGATGCCGCTTCCCCTGACCGGTCGATTGTCGAAACCACATTGCAACGTGCTCATGGCACAATTGTGGGATTACTTGCACACTGCAGTACCAACTTTGTTGATGGACGCCGGAGTAGAGGTTGTTGACCTTCACGACTACGTTGCAAAGATCGACCGCGAGTTCAAGACACAACGGTAAAACGACATCGACGCGCCATTGTTGTACATACACATTCAGATCGGAGAGACGACCTGCAACGCTTTGATCGATTGCGGAGCTACTCACAACTATATCAGCCAAGACTTGATGGTACGCGCTGGGCTTGGGCCACGTGTTTGGAGGAAGTCGCAGCCCACGCAAGTCATGTTGGCCAACGGTCTCACGCACAAGTCAATCGACCGGTGCATTGTGCCCGTGTACTTCACCCCGCATGCAAGTGAGGCCGTGTCCTTCGACATTTTGGACATGTAGTTTGACATGATTTTGGGCATGTCATGGCTGCGAAGCGATGATTACCCAGTGAACTTCTACCATCGCACCGTAATCGGAATGGAGTACTAGTCACATGCACGATGCCTCCACCTCACACTTCGATCAGCTGCCACGTGGTGTCCGCCGCAAGCATTCGAGCTTTCATCACCAGGGACGACATCGAGGAGATGGGGGTGTGTTTTATCCATGCCCTCCCTCCCCATGACATCCCATCGACGGACGCATCGACCGACCAACGCATCACCGAGCTTCTCGACACCTACGGCGACGTGTTCGAAGCCCCGCACGGAGTAGTACCGGATCGGCCCATCCGCCACAAGACCATCCTTGAGGCCGGGGTCGTACATCCACGTGGTTGCATCTACCGCATGAGCGAGGAAGAGTTAATTGCGCTACAGGCAAGAAGAACAAGGACTTGCGGTTGTGCATCGATTATTGCAAGCTCAACGCGCAAACTGTCAAAAGCGTCGGCCCTCTCCCGCGTATCGACGATCTTCTCGAACAGTTGGGCGGCGCTAAGTTCTTCTCTAAGCTTGACCTCAAATCGGGATATCACCAACTTGAGATCCGGCAGGAAGACCGCTACAAGACCGCGTTCAAGACGCAATATGCGCATTTCGAATAGTTGGTTATGCCATTTGGCCTTACAAATGCCCCAGCCACGTTCCAAGCGACTATGACGACAGAGTTCCGACACATGTTGGACAAATTTGTACTCATCTACCTCAACGATATCTTGGTGTACAGTCGTAGTTAGGACGAGCATGTGGAACACTTGCGCACCGTTTTGGACCGGCTACGACAAGCCGAGTACAAAGCCAACCGCCACAAATGTGAATTCGCGCGGCAAGAGCTCGAGTACTTGGGCCATTATGTGACGCCGCAAGGCATCCATTCGCTTGCGGACAAGATCGAGGCCATCTGCGTAAGGCCCGAGCCCACCAACACCACGGACGTTCGCTCATTCATTGGGTTGGTAGGCTACTATCAACACTTCATCACCAGGTACTCAAGGATTGCCGCACCATTTACGAGATTACAATCGCCAAAGGTGTCATTCGTATTCGATGACGACGCACGCCGGTCACTCCAAGCACTCAAGACGGTCATGCTCATGGCAGCCGTCCTTAGCATCTATGACCCCACCTTGCCAACGAGAGTGACAACTGACGCTTCCGGCTATGGCATTAGGGCAGTCTTGGAACAACAAAACGACGACTAGCTCCCCGTGGAGTATTTCAACCACAAAGTGTCTCCCATCAATTCACTTGATGATGCAAGGAAGAAGGAGTTGCTCGCGTTCGTGATGGCTCTCAAGTGATGGCGGCACTTCCTCCTTGGGCGTCGTAGGTTCACATGGGTCACCGACAACAACCCATTGGCCTACTACAAGACGCAGAATACAGTAAGCAGCACTATTGGAGGACGGATGTACTTCATCGACCAATTTAACTTCACACCAAAACATCTCGCCGGCCTCTCCAATTGCACAGCAGATGCACTCTTGCGAAGACCCGATCTTTGCACTATTACACATCATGCCTTCGCATTCGACGAGGAACTTCAGCGGCACTTCATTCAGGGCTATGAGTCTGATCCCGATTTCGCGATGCTATATGCACAGCTATCTTCGAATCACTCGCCGACCAGCAATTATCGCATCGTCGACGGGTACTTGCTTCTCCACTCACGAGGCAAGGACTTGTTCTGCGTCCCACGAGACCGTCGTCTTCGGACTCGCCTTCCCGGCGAGTACCACGACTCGCGACTCGCCGGCCATTTCGGAGTCAATCGGACTATCGCACGACTTCGACAACGATTTCGGTGGCCCGGCCTCATTACCGATGTCACTCGGTATTGCGACTCTTGCGAATTTTGCCGGCAAAGCAAGCCCCGCAACCGCAATCCCTACGGCGAGTTGTGTCCGTAACAGCCATTTCGTCAAAACGGACATATTATATTTTTTGAACGAAATCAAAACTGACTTTTTTTGCCAAAATCCGGTCGGAATTTTTTGCTCCTGGGGGTCCGGCGTTCCCAAAACGCCGGACCCCCCTGGTCTATGGTTGAGACCAGATACTTTTTTT